AGAGAGAGAGAGAGAGAGAGAGAGAGAGAGAGAGAGAGAGAGAGAGAGAGAAAGAGAGAGAGAGATCCTTTTTCTTCCTCCTCCAGTCCACCACCTTCTTCTTCCCCTCCCAGCGCTCTGACTTCTTCTTACCGGCTATGAGAGAGAGAGAGAGAGAGAGATTAACGGCACTTGGGATTTAGACTCGACATTGGACAGAAATGTTGGGGGGACTATTTGGGATTGATATCAGCGACATTTGGGTTGATGACGTTCTCATCTCCTCCCCCCTCTTCTTCGTCTCTTTCCCCTCCTCATCTGTGCATGAGCTAGGCCTGGCACCTTCGTCCCTGTGTGCGGCACCAGGCCATTCACAACGTGCGATGATGATGATGTATGTCCAGTCTGCATTTCGACATTGATTGGGTCTGATCATTGGTATTCCAGTCTTCTGCTGTGCTATCCCGCTCTATCTGTGAGAGATCGGTTCTTGGTTCTGGTCTGTACCATCTTGGTATGCAACAGTACAACTACTGGGACGCAGGCCGCACAGCCAGGGTCTGCCTTGCCCAGCCAGACAGGGCAAATGCAAGTGACACTCACTCACTTGTGACATTCTTGCTGGCTGGATGGCGGCAGCGCTGCTGGTAGCGCTTGCTTGTTGGGTGGCCACCATGCCCGAAGGGAAAGGGCGCTGGCGCTGCGCGAGGAAGAAGCTGCATGGGTGCCCACCCATGCTGAAAGTTCTGAACCCCCCCCGCCTCGCCCTGTTTTGTTTTCTTTAAACCACCACTATCGACCAGTGTTGGGAGAAATGAGAAAAGTGGCTGTTTTCCCACTTTTTCGGAAGTTTCGGGGGTTGGACGAGGCTCGGCAGTTGGGCCTTGAGGGCCCCTTCGAAAAACAAAAATAAAAACAAAAGATCATGTCGGGGAAGGTCGTGTACCAAGTTGTGCTCACACCAAATCTCACACGTTCATATATAACCGCTGTAGTGGTCAGTTTCGGGTTTTCATTGTTTGTGTTTTTTGTTTTCGTACTTTTTTTTGTTTTGGGCCCCGCCAGATAGGCACGACGCAGTCCGTTGCTGCTGACACTTTGTGGAGGAGGGCATAACCACGCTATTACTTTGCAGAATGTATGAACCCGCTTTCCCGCCCTAAGTTCAGTTTCAATTTTTTTTCCTCTCTTTCTTCTTTCATGGACCTGACACCCTTGCCGTAACGCCCTCATCGAGGGCATACTGCAATAAACCATGCCGTATGTCTCGTAGATTGTCTGAGGGCCTTACCAGGCCGCACTCAGACCCAGGCCGAAGGGGGAAAAGAACCCCACAAAAAGATTCAAGACCTGAACGTGTGACAGTTGACTAAAGTCAACTATCGGACATCCAACAGTCAAAGTCAAAGTGTACCCAGCCCAGGCCGCCGGTCAGACGCACACACTTGTTTGTATGCAGGTACCCCGACAACATCAGGACCAAGGGGAAATCTGCAACTGTACAATCCAGGCCCTCGGCTGTGAGTCAATCTGTACGACCGTGGAAAGGGGACCTGAGGCCAGACAGCCTTGCCAAATGCTACATAAGGCTGGGTCTCCGGTTGGTCAACATTCAGTCTTGTTATGCTGCCTCGACGCTGGCTGGACGCTGGCTCGACTATGGTTCGACGCTGGCTCGACTATGGTTCGACGCTGGCTGGACGCCGGCTTGACGCTGGCTGGACGCTGGCTTGACGCTGGCACTGTGGTCGACGACGCAGGACTGTGGCAGCATGCTGGCGCTTTCTCTACTGTGCGCTAGACATATGGCGCATGCCACTTGTCTATATGGCTGATGTGGCGCATGCTATTTGTCTACATTGCTGATATGGTGCATGCCACTGTCTACATGGCTGATGTGGCGCATGCCACTTGTCTACATTGCTGATGTGGCATTGCTATTTGTCTACATTGTGTTGCTGATGCGGCGCTGCCACCTGTCTTCATTGATGATGTGGCGCATGCCACCTGTCTCTATAGCTGACGTGGCATTGGCCACGCTGTCTACATGAGGTGACTGGTTGCGACAAGGAGGGAGATCGGGATTTGTGGATGATTGAGATCTGATACTCACCTGAGGTTGACGTCGTTACCGTATACTGCAGTTGTCTTCATGGTGTCCACGAGATAAGAGTGCCATGTGGCACTTCTGTGTGATCAGGATTTATCAGACCTGTTACTGTATATTGGTTGTTGACGTGGAGGCGAGGGGAAGCCCGGAGAAGGAGTGGGAAGGATTGTGACTACTCTTGTGTAATTATCTTTTCCACCTTCTCCTCTGTTTATTCCCCCTCCACTCTCTTCGTCTATTGGTAACGAGATATTGTTTCAGATATCACTTCACGTTAACTGGAGACTTTGTGCAGATCTGAGACTACTTGTACTTTGGCGTCTGATGAGTATCTGCTAGACTGGGTTCATTACAATTTGGTATCAGAGCGTACTCCTTCATCTCAATCTGCTGTCAGGTGCTTACGTGGCACCCAGGTAAGTGGGAGGTGCCGCATGTGCAAGACGAAACACGCTTATTAACGCACGTGGTCAATACCGCAAGTCTAAACATTGAGTACGGCACATGCGTGCGGCCTCTCTTGAAGATGATGACGTGGCTACACTGCAGATTTCAAGATACCGGCGAGAGCTTCGTTGGCAACAGGCTGACGTGGCACTGGGCTAGAGAGAGATAAGTGTGAGATCAGGACCGCTGATGTGGCTCACTGCCTACGTGGCATGACGTGGAGTGCTGATGTGGCATTCTCAACAGGCAGGGCATGATCTGACGTGGTACATACTTGTGTTGCGATAGCCTGCTAATGAAGCGCTGACATGGCATGCCAATATTGTGTGTGTTGCAGACATGCATTGCTGACATGGCATCCTCCCCTCGTAGACCTTTTAGGTCCATGACGTTGACATGGCAGACTCTATAGAGCTGCTGCGTTGGCATCCCAGGGGTGACACGTGGCATGCATAACACGCTGCTGTGGAGGAACTGTCGAGTGTGCACTTGTGTGCCGGCAGATGGTACGGCTTCACGATTTGTTGTAGTGTCGAGTGCTGGCCCTTGTGTTTGGTTGCATTGTTTCTGCAGATGGTAGAACCGTAGAGGAAGGAAGCTAACCATTGATTGTGTTGTTGTGTTGGCTAACCTACTCACTTATTGGTTGTTCTGTGGTTGATGTGTTTACTCACAAGTGTGTTGTTGTCTTGATCACACTAGTCGTGGTTGCGGTACCTATACACCTGCTGTAGGACGTCATCACACATAGAACAGACAACAAAAGTTAGATTTAGAAAATTATTTGCGAAGCTGTTTCTTTTTATCTGCCTCGATTATTTCTTGTTGTAGGACTTGGGTGTGCCGTGAAATTTATTTTTGTCTTTTAATTTTATTTATTGTGCGGCATATTCACGCTAGGAAAAATGACTTATCTCTGGAAATGTCTGCGTGCCTCTATTCTCACAAGTTTCATACCTC